TTTATAAAAGTTCAAGAAGTTATTTAACATGTTTTGGATTGTTCAAGTACCTATTTGTTCCAAAAATTGTCCAAGGAGTTATTTAACATTTTTTGGAATGTCCAAGGACTTATTTGTTCCAAAAATTGTCCAAGGAGTTATTTAACATTTTTTGGAATGTCCAAGGACTTATTTGTTCCAAAAATTGTCCAAGGACTTATTTAACATATTTTGGAATGTCTAAGGACTTATTTGTTCCAAAAAATTATCCAATGACTTATTTAACATGTTTTGGAATGTCCAAGGACTTATTTGTTCCAAAAAAAAGTCTAAGGACTTGATCATTCCAAACAAGAAGGTCTATTGGTTTTTATTGTACTTTTCCCAATCTTAAAAGATTAATCTTTAAAAAAATTAAAAATGAAATTCCTAAAAACATTTCCGGCGGATTTCCGGTGGAATTATTTTTTTTATTTTTTTTAAATTGCCGCCGGAAAATCCGCCAATAAAGGTTTAATTTTTTTAAAAAAATAATAAAAAAGAATTTTCTAAAAACATTTCCGGCGGAATATTAAAAAAAATAAAAAAAAAATACTTCCGCCGGAAATCCGCGGGAAATGTTTTTAGAAATTCTTTTTTATTTTTTTTAAAAGGTCAATTAATTTTAAAAGGTTAATTAAAGGGCAATTAAGAATTCCTCCGGAAATCCGCTGGAAATACGACCAGTTTAATATTTCCGGCGGAAGTCAATAAAAGTTGACTTTTTTGAAGGCCGTCGGAAATCAGCCGAAAATTTACCGGCGGAAAAGTTCCGCCGGAAATAGCGCCGGAAATGGCGCCAGAAATGCCCAGTTTTCTAGTAGTGAATGGAGATGAAGATGAGGAATCGAAAATGGGGATGAGGATTGAGGTCTCTGCCCCATTCACATGCCTACACCTTGTTCCATAAGGTGGGTGTCATTTTGTTTCTATTTGTTTCCCACAAAAATCAAGTCAAACATAGAACAAGAATATATATTTTATTCTGTTATGTCATATTCAACGTAACAAACTCACCCAAACATAACCACAACAACATGATGATCTCTTGATTTTAGAAAAAAGGGACGAGATCGTTACTAGTGGCGGATACATAGCTAAGCCATAGGGGGCACAAGCCTCCAACAAACCACCAAGAAACCCACAACAAAGAACATGACTTATAGCTTTAAATATATTTTTTAACCTAAAATTACAATAGTCCCCCAACAATTAAAAGACAATTTCCCAAATCTAATCCCTACCATTTCATTTACAACTTCCATTTTATTTCATTTGAAGGAGTTACCAATTTAAGAATCAATTAAACTCTAATGTCCCTAATTTTTAAGTCTTAACTCATTGAAAGTCATTTTATTTGTCTTGTTTTATTTGCTATAATTCTAATAATTTGATCCATCACTATTTTTTTGTTTTTTTTCCAGCTTTCTTTTTGCATTCTATTTTATATAGATTTATAATTATTGTTATTTGTTGATTATTAAATTTCTATTTATTGATATTTAATTTAGGGTTCTTGAATTTGTTATTTTGATATAGGGTTTACTATTATTTATCTTTATTTATAGCATATTGGTCTTTTGCTCTCTGATTTCTTCTAATTGAATCTAATTTTTTTGCCCTTTGATTTCTTGCTATTGACTATTAGGGTGCGTTTGGTGCGCAGACAGGACTGGACTGGACAGGGCAGGACGGGACAGGACAGAACAGAACAACTATTCAGCGTTTGGTAAGACAGGACAGAACTGGTTAAAATGACCAATTTACCCCCAGTGAGCTGTTTAGTGTTTTTTAACTACGAAATGCATTCTGGTAACAGTAGGATCAATAGTCAATAAGATGGAGTCACTAGCATAAATCAAGTAGCATAAATCAAGTAGCAACTTGTTCTTCTGTGTCTGTKTAATCTCAATAGCATAAATCAAGTAGCAAATTTAACCAGAAACAAATTGATGCARGGGGCAGTGGTAYATGTGCATCTMTGGTTCAATCTAACACAAGACACAATCAAGCAATCATCCTAAAGAATACACTGGTCCTACTACCACTACAACCCTAATAATTCATCAACAACAACAACATTCAGCAATGGTAGCACATACGAAATCAAATCGACGATTCGAACAAAAAACTGAAAAACCTGCTAAATCTGTACGATTCGAACACAAACTGAAATGGTAACACATACGAAATCAAATCGACGCACAAGTAAGTAAAGAACAGTCGATTGGAAGTCGATTGAAACAGTCGATTGGAAGTCGATTGAAATAGTCGATTGAAATCGGGATGAGAAGTCGGCGATTAGAAGTCGCGTACCTGGAAGTCGCGTACCTGAGTATGGAGAGAGGAGAAGTCGATTAGAAGCACGTACCTAGAAGTCGATTAGAAGCGCCGATTGGAAGTCGATGGAGTTGCCGCCGATTGTTTTCGATGGAGTTGCCGCCGATGGAGAAGTCGATTAGAAGCGCGTACCCTGCTAAATTAGAAGTGCCGATTGGAAGTGAAGGAAGCGATGGAGGAGAAGAGGGTTAGTTCTTCATGCGATGAGCCGGTTGAGGAAAGGGTAGTCAGGTAAAAAAAGTTGTGTTCTACTTAGTTCTAGGGGTAAAAGGAGAACAAGCGCGTCCCATTCTTGTACTACCTAGTTCTACTTAGTTCCACATTAAGCCACACCAAACGTAGGACAAACTTGTTATGTCCTGTCCTGTCTCACCATGTCCAGCGTACCAAACACACCCTTAATGTGTACTGTGTTCATTTGTTTCAAGTTGAACCGAAATAAAAATATATGTACAAATTAATGTCTCTGTCCAAAAAGTAAAAATTAATCAAAAAACGAAAAAAGTTATATTTATTTGACTAAATTGAATAGTTTAAGCCGACAACAGAATAATCCAAAATCGTCTTGGTTCGAATGAGTTATTCGGTTTCAGAATTTTTTTTACACTATCAACTCCTTAAATTTTCCCCCAATAACAAAATTTTCGAATAAAACATGTAATTCTCCATTTTAGCTTCGGATTAAAGATATTTGGAAAAATCGACGTAATTTTTCTTTTTCTAAATTGACTCGTGATAATCGTAAGTTTATTCCATGTAGAAACGAGAAGCAAATATGAACAAGAAGAGTACATCCTCCGTCGAGAAGAACTAAACAACACCAAAAAAAACAAAACTCGAAATCAGAAACTACCTACTGCTACATATATAATAATTCGTGAAAGGCACTATGATTTGTTCTTGTAATGACAAATTTGGTTAGAAATTCTTCTATTTGAAATATTGATATCCAAATCGCAAGTTGAGACCGAAACCAAGTGAATATTGAACAAATTAAGTATACGAGCTTTACCCGAGATCCTAGTGTAGGTAGACACCTGCAAGTGACCGCGGATGACATCAGCATAAACCTCCAAATTCGTCAGCAACCGATCGGCAAAAACCGTGAGTGTCAGATTCAAGCGCTTGGTATCACCGGATCCAATCTCGCCGGCGGCAATAGGAACATCACCAACGACTTGGCCTTTGTACAGGAGATTCGCGGAGCTGTTTCGGTACTTGATCCGGACCTTGTTAGGGTTTCTAATCGAGATGTCGAGATCCAGTGAGACGTTCAAGGAAACCCTAGGTGGAAGGAGGTTAACAGAGGCGTCAAAATCATTGATCTGGACGGAGTTGACGGTGGTGACGGCTTTCCTGACTTTGAAGACGGTGAAAGCTAGAATCAGAATGATTAAAGCGACGACAAGTATAAGAACGATTACCGACAAACATATGCATCTCCGGCGTTTGCGTTTCCTGTGGTGAATGTCGTCGGCCATGATGGTTGTGAGTGGCTGCTCATCCTTTTTCTTGATATCCATGCTTTTTGCTAGGAAACAACAAAATTCAAATTCAAATTGGAATTAAATATCGGGGACAGATTATTGACTAAAGAAGGGTTTGGGAATTAAATTATCGGTTAGCGGTTGGGGGATATCCAAACCTGCTTCCATTAAATGGATGATTTAATCAAGTAAATAAAGTATTTAGTGATTTAGGGTTTTTTTCCTTTCGTTATAGACTTCAGGATCAATTTATGTAAATTCTTCGGGTGATCACGAATGACATGAAGTTATTGCAGTTGAACCTATAAATTCATAAGGGTTTTGACAATGTTTAGATTGAATCTTAGGATAAATGAGATTTTTCGCTACATCCTTTGAGGTTTAACCAGTGTCCCACAACCCAAATGGTTGTGATTTACAATCTTTTGTTGCTTCAACATTTTCCGGTCCTAAAATTAAAACAATTATGGAAAACAATTGTTACTTCCAATTTGAATGAATAGAACAACAATTTAAATATAGCAATTCCAGAATTATGGAAATTGGTTTGTATATTGATGAGAGGAATTACAATACAAAATCTTGAAATGTAAGTATGTATCTATGACTAAGTCTATTACTCAACTATTCTCTCTTGAATGTTATTACAAACTAAAAATACAAGAGTTATTTATACAATTTGATTGTTACAAGTCAAACTACAATTAAGCATAATGTTGACTTTTATTGACTATATTTACTTTAAGTTTTGACTTATTCAATCTTTAAGATCGGTGATCTTGGATACAATAATATCTAATCTAACAATCTCCTCCTTTGTATTTCAGACCACATTCTTCAAAACAGATCCATTTGTCTTCACCTCAAAAGATCTTTGACAAAAAAATAATTTCCCCCGTTGAAGACAATCAGACTTTATTACCCTTCGAATAAGATGAATCTGAAAAAAATAACAATCTCCCTTTTTAACAGATATATCTTTAGATCAAAATCTTCAAATCGAAATCATCTTGAAATAGTCTTCAAAAACTTTCCCTTTTGAGGTCTATAACAGTCAACAAATATTCAAGAAATCATCTTGAATCAACAAATAAGCTTTAGACATTTAGGCTTGAAGTTTTGACACCATGTGTACTAAGCTTATTACCATTATATCATGAAAGAATCCAATTTTATCAACAACTTTCTTCAAACAAGTTTGTCTTATACAACAAGAATCTTTGATGTTATGTGTGATAACCGAGTTCTGGTTATATAATTTGTGATAATTTCTAGAGTTTTGGTGAGTAAGTATTTGTAAATAATTTTGTGTATGTGAGTGTTTATAAGTCAACCCAAGATACATGCATACATATATGTATATGTGGTTGAGTGTGAGGCCGCCTAGTTTGGGAAAGGTATATATATGTGGAATGAATTGAATTCATCCCATTCTTTTTGTCATTTTTTGAAAGTCAATAAGGAGAGAAAAATATATGTGTGTCTCATCTGTGAAAAGCGGTGAAGTTGATTCTTTGATCAATTGGAAGTTGATTATATGTAATTCATTTTCATACGTGCATCATAAAGTGATTTTTACATCGTTTTGATGAATCTGTTTATAACACTTTTTGGTATAAATTGTATTATATGAGAGTAGTTTTTAAAGTTATACCTATTTTGTTATGAATTTCATCACACAAAATAGGGTCCGATGAGGACGCTTATCGCATGAAGTGTTCTCTGATGAAGGACCCTTATCGTATAGAGTATTGTCCGATGAGGATTCTAATCAACCATGGTGTTTTCCGGGATGGACTCTTATCGTTTAAAACATCATCCGAATTGAGTATTTCATCGCCCAAGTGTTGATCGGTGAGGATGTTCATCGGTCATAGTATTGACCGGTGAGGATGTTTATCGGTCATAGTGTTGACCAGTAAGGGTGTTTATCAGTCATAGTGTTGACCGGTGAGGGTGTTTCATCGCTTGTGTGTTGTCCGATGAGGACATTTATCGCCCAAAATGTTGAAATTGTTTTAATGCCATTTTTGGCAAAAAAAATATCAAATTTGATTACATTTTATGATGAAATAAAAAATGACATATCAAAGAGAGGTGTACCATGGGATAAGGGTAGCATATCAAGGAGAGGTGTACCTTGGGATAAAGGTGACAATTATAACTCTTGTCGTCACATCCATAAGATGCGATAATTTAGAGTTCACATTACGTTTGATTGTTCAATAGATGGTAAAGATTTGTTACAAAACCCAGAGGGTCTTTGGTTATTATTAAAACCCATTTTCTTTTGAGTTCAAAACAATTTTTATTTGTGAAAATTGGATCCTGGTTATCATCCGAGGTAATTAATATGTGATTATTTGTTAAATGATTATGTGACAACATGATAAATTGTTATATTTGATCATGCAAGTATGTGAAATTTTATGCATAGATATTATATGCATAATGTGAAAATATATGTTATATATATATATGTGTGTGTGTGTATGCTTGATGTATGTGCATGGAATTGAGTGTATACATAGTTATATAAAAACATACATGCATGATATTTGGATGCATGGAGATGAGTAGCCCTTCCCTGTTAGGGAAGGGTATAAAAGGAGGTTGAAACCTTCATTTCAAATCTTCTTGCTATTTTGAGTCTGATTGAGCGATTTAAAGAAAGAGAGTTGACCGGATTGCTTTTGATTTGGAATCAAGCGGACTCAAGTGTGTTCAAACGTACCTCTAAAAGATTTTATAAGGTGAGTGGTTAAATGTTTATAAAACACATTAAATTGTATGTTTAAATTGAGCTTTAAAATGTTTACTTGACATTTGTTAACTTTGACCGGATTATGTTAAATCGGATATGTTATCCGGATTAGGGTAAACCGGACAAAGTGTGAGCGATTAAAGGATAAATCGCTTGATGTATTAACCAATTTAGTTTTAAACCGGACAAGGGTCAAGCGGATTAGACATTAAATCGGACATGTCTTAACCAGTTTAAAAATAAATCGATCAATTGTGTTAACCGGTTTATGAGTTGAGCGATTTATGAACTTTGAATTATGTTAAATGTTTAAATCGGAGAAGTAGGAATACAACTATGGGATGGCCGGTTTATTCTAAATCGGATATGTTACCCGAATTGTTAAATCGGACATGGCATGAATAGTATTGTCCGGATTAGTAATCCGGACAAGGTGTTGAGAATAAAGCTAAGTGGTAAATCGATCAAGTCATGAGAAGTGTTGTCCGGATTGGTAATCCGGCCAAGGTTTGACCAGATTATATGTTGAATTATTATTTTGTTCATCTTTTAAAAAGAAATGGGAATTTTGATAAAGATGATTTTGAACTGATAATATTCCATTGACTGCGGTCTATTCTATATGGAATTGTTTCGTGAAATATTTTGATGGGAAATAAGGATGACATATAAAAGAGAGGTGTACCATGGGATAAGGGTGACATATCAAGGAGAGGTGTACCATGGGATAAGAGTGGCATGTCAAGGAGAGGTGTACATTTGGATATAAGGGTGGCATTTGTATGTGTGTTATGTAAAATAACTCTTACTATTATATCCCTTAAGATTACCGTGGTCTGGAATCTTTATTTCTTTGTGATTTWAAGGTTTAGGATCAGGGTTCTTATTGGAAATCATAGTCTTGATGTTATTAAGAAGAAAATACCAGGTTTGACCTGAACTTTGAATAAGCCTTGTTTATCTGAAAAGGTTTAAAAGTGGCACTATGATATACCTGGTTAGTACAAACCTATTTTGGGTTTTGATGTATTATTTGCAAGCATTGGGATTGGCTTGAAAAGTGAAAAGGTACTGGTAATATGTTTTTACTTGTTCATATATTTGTTATATATATGAAAAGTTGTTTTACATAAAAGTTTTGGTGATTATCACCCTGCAATAACATAAAAAGGGAACTCACTAGACCCTTCGGTCTAACCCTCATATTGTGATTTTTAATATGTGTTGCAGGAGGTGTAGACGGTAAGGGAAAAAGAAAAATATGATAATTCCCTATGTGTTTACCTGCATGAAGAATTGCTGATGATATGTATAGTTTTTGGTAGATGAATCTAGATTAGTACAAGAATTGTATTTTGAATTTTTGGACCATGTATTTTGTATTGACAAATTCTTGTACTAGGGGACTTATGTGGTTTATATACATGTATTTCTTGTGTATGAAGTATATGTTACATGCAAAGTGTGGAATGGGTGTTACATTATTTTTAAGCTTTAATCAATAACCAAGAACTCGGGTTGGTCATATTTCTTTGTACAATTTGGAAGTTGAGATTATAAGCTCTGATTTTTATGAGTCATAAGGGCTTTCTAAATTTCGTGCTGAATGATTATGAGAACCCGAGTGGTTGTATTTCTTATATGGTAAAAATGAGTGTATAACTCGTTTTTTGTTGGTGGTATTTGGGCTATATTTTAGAAAAGTTGTTGGGTGTTCGTGAAATTCGAAGTATGATTTTCTGTAACAGGTTTTGGTGATTTTTCATCCTGTAATTGCAAAAAAAAAAGGGATTTTTCACTACACCTCAAGGTCTAACCCTCATTTTGTGTTTCAAAAATATGTATTGCAAGTCAGGATTCATCCAATGATAAGGGGAAGGGGAAAATGTGAATTTTCCTGTTGTGCTTAATTGATTTATGAAGATCAATATGTTATCTGTGAATTTTTGGGAATAATGGTTTCTATACCAGTTATGTACAATAATGTTATTTTTTGAAATTTTTGGTTATAAATTACGTAATATAACTTCTTGTACTGTTGGGACCGAAGGTGTACTATTTGTATTTCTGAATATATGAAATACATGATTATATGCAAATGTGGAACCTGGTGAGTTACAAGTTTGTATCAAAAGTTGAGTTTAAGGGATTTAGGTAGTCAACATGATGCCTAGACTTAAACTACATTATTTGCATATTAAGAGTCTCTGGCATAGATAGAACAATTGGGAACAATATGATGGGTTAAGAGGACAATATGTAAGTGTTAGCTCTCATATTTCATTTAATGTAAAAGTATGAAAAAGTACTACTGCAAGTGTTGACAGAAGAGGTCTACCACAGAAGACCACAGAGGACCAACAACAGAAGATGTTCTATCA